ACTCTTTCAACACTAGGTCGAGTTGCACCCTAGATATTTGATAGAGAATAATTGATAAATTTTTTTAGTGAATTACATTGTGCTTATTTGACATTTATAAGTTTAAATTGATGAATTGGTTGAGGCTTATTTTAGTGGGCTTCATTGGTTTTAATTATAAATTCTAGATAATTTTTGTAATTTCTTCCAACTTTGACATGTTGTCTTGTATAAGACATATCTTGAGCTCCGAAACTCAAAATCAAACTTTCTAAGTGTCCTTGGAAAGATAAAACAAAGATCTACCGATGGGAGAAGTGTGGAACTCATGGAGTAAGAGGGATGTAAATCGAGAAGTAAGGGAAATCCAAATTTTTCCTTTGTAAAGGATTAACCTATTCACCGGTTTAAAATCTAGGAGAGAAGAAAGATCCTCCAAAATGCACAAACTCAATTCTTGAAAGTCAGCATCAGATTGCAATTCTAACTTAAAATCATCTAAAAACTAAACTCAGGGATAAATAACATATGCCATGTGGCCATTGGGGTTTCATGTGCATCTGCTACAATATTTGCTTTGTCTGTCTTAGTTTGTAGTAGATGTCATAATGATAACCAAGGAACTTAATGAGGTAATGTTGTTGCTTGAGAGTTTGTATAACTTGAGAAAGCAACTATTTAAGACTCTTGCAATCAGTCTGGATGGTGAACATAATTCCCTGACAAATATTGTCTCCATCTATTTACTACACTAGTGATTGCATGCAATTCACGAACGTAAGTCGAGGGTTGAGACATCCTGGGACAAAACACCTTGTTGAAATACACAATTGGGTGACTACACTGAAGCAATATAGCTCCCATAGTAGTACCTGAAGCATCAATTTGCTCTATGAAGGGCTCAACAAAATTTGGAAAAGCAAGCATTGGAGCTTCTATTAGGGCCAAAAGAACATTGTGTTGCCGTTGACCATTTAAAGTTTTCCTTTTTGACTAATTCAGCCAAAGGTTGGGCTATGGAAGCATAGTTCGGAATGAATTTCCGATAGAATCCTAAAAGTCCCAAAAAGCCTTGCGACCTTTGAACTGTTTGAGGAGGTGGCCATTCCATTACGGCCTTAACTTTGGATGGGTCTAGAGCTACAATACCCCCTGAAACAATATGAGCAAGGTAGGCAAATTTTGACCAAGCAAAAGAGCATTTCCGAGGATTAAGAAAAAAACTGGCGTAGCACTAATACAATGCTTAAGATGAAAAGCAAAGTTTGTGCTAAAGACTAGAATATTGTTAAAGAAAATGATAACGGTCTACCCAACAAATGGCGGAATATCTCATTCATGGTGGCCTAAAAGGTGGTTGGGACGTTACACAACTCGAATGACATTACTGTATACTCATAATGCCCCTCATAAGTGCGGAAGGTCGTTTTGTGCATGTCTAGAGGGTTAATATGTATTTGATGAAATCTCATAGTCAAGTCCAACTTGGAGAACACATGTGCTAAATTTAACTCATCCAATAGCTCATCAATAGTCGATAATGGAAAACGGTCTTTGATCATCATTGTATTTAAAGCACGACACTCCACGCACATTTGCCATGAGACATCCTTCTTTTTGAGCAATAACATTGGAGAAGAAAAATTACTATTACTTGGTTGTATCCATTTGTGAAGCAATTTGGCCACCTGTTCTTCGATCTCTATTTTCTAGTGGAGTGGGTATCGCTATGGACGAACATTTACTGGTGAATGGCCAGTAAACCTAGATGGGGGAAGACTGAAGAGAGGCAGGTTCCACAAAGAGGAAGTCGTATTGTTGAAGAAGTGGTCTCACGATGGGGTTGGAATAAGTTAGTGCATTTAATGTTTCCTCAATATGCCTATCTTGTGGGCTAAGAGTCCATGATGGCAGCTGCTGATTCAGGTTCTGCCCTTGCTGATGTGTATTCAGGAATTCATACGTGGATATAATGAAAAGAACATTTCAGAATACATTCTTTTTTATACATCGGAACGAGTGCTCCGAAACATATTTTTAATTTTAATTAAGAATTTTGAAATACAATTTCAATATATTAAAATAAGTGTTTATGAACGCATTTAATATTTTAGAATGATGAATTTTTAACATTTCAGAATGATGTTCTGAATGACATTTAATATTTCAAAATGGTACATTTTTAACATTACAGAATGAAGATTACGAAACATGTTTAACATTCTAAATTGTATGTTCCGGAGTATATTTTTAGTACTTTGTATTGGGTGTTCTGAAATGTGTCATTAAAGTAAGGAGAAATTTATACAAATGAATGCAGGAGAAAAATAAAAGATGAGTGCAAGAAGAATAATATTTATCAAATCAATGCCACCATCCAGTTTTGTGAAACAATAAACTACATAAGTTTATTTTTTTTTTTAAAATCCCAAAATATTGACAAGTATTTACAAAGGAAAGTGGGTTACAATGGATTACATGACAGTATATTCTCATGTGATATAGCATTCCAGCACATTTGTCCTAAAAACAATAATATTTTATGACTAAGCAAGTGACAATATTATTGTTTACATTTTCTTTTGTAAGATTGGGGGGGGTACAAAAATGATACAAGATTACCTCATACCCTGAGACTTAAAGGGATGAAACTAGTTTCTGTGTCGGTGGCAAAATGTCACAAAACCTCTTTTAGCTGTTAAAGCACTCTGACAAGCTATAAAACTTCACAGTTTACATATATGGTGGCCTTCTCTTTGTGGCAAGGCAAACCTTACCAGTTCACCATAAAAAGGAAAGGCTAGCGTTACCAAAGTATGCACTAAATTAGAGCTGCAATTCATGAAGGATTAAAGGATCATTCTTTGAACATGACACAACATTTTAGTGGTCACACCGCGACCTGCATTATGAATAGCACATGAATGCTAAGGAAGACTACTATCTGCACAATATCATGTCATAATAATGAAGGAAAAAAAAAAAAAAAAAAGCTAGAGTAATAGTCAATAAATTTTGGCAAGCAATCCAATCGTTGAATGATTAAAACAGTCAACAGAAATGGTTACGCTTACATAAATTGATTACAGGTATAACCATAAAATTGTGTTCAGAAGGTGCAGGGAAAAGGCGGAATTATGTACCTTAAAAACTTAATCTTCAAGTATTTTTTTCAAAAGAAACAAATCTTCAAGATTTTTATATTTTATGTAAAAGTTAATGCGTCAAGTTTACACAGATACAATACAAATACACAGTTAGACAATTGACATGCAAATATACCCAGTTACCCAGTAGACTGAATATATTAAAACAATACATCATATAGTATTATGAAATGTAAATTTACTTCCTAATGTCATTTGAATTAAGCATAAACAACTATAGACAACATTGCATCTTTAGGTGAGAGAAAATTGTTTCCTTCAAAAGTGTAGATATATTGATAGAATATGTAACTGCTAAATATAGAGTTTTAATACTCACATTATGCACGGCTACGTCTGGTGCAAGACCTCTTCTATGGATTCAAATTCTTTAAGATTATTAACTACGTGGTGAATTTTCACAGACAGCTTCTCACTGTGCTCTTCAACGATTTTCATAAAAGAAGTTAACTGTTCTTGATATGTTGCACACAACCGCTTTTTAAGTCGAAGCTCTGCTGTTAATTCCTGTATTTTCTTATCCTTCTCATCCTAAAACCAGAAAGCAACGGAAAGTGATTAGAAACGTATGCAGACATATCTTTTTCGTTTTCAGAAACAAAGGACGTTATATAAAATATCACAAAACAGTACCAATTTCTTGATATGCCAAATACAGCCATTATTAAATTATTGTAGTTGTTTGTTGCAATTAATGACCTTTTCTATATATCAAGTATTTTCCTTTGTGGATATTACAGAGAGATCAAACTCACAAGCCACATGAAATTGACCAAAAAAGAAATCCAGGAGTTTGATTAAAACATAAGGCACGAATGTTTGATAACCATTAACCAGTTTAGTTTATATACTAGGCATAGATATAAAACCGTTTGTCTTATCTAAAAGGTTGAACATTTTCGATAATTGATTCATGACAGGTTATCAAAATCTCTATAACCATGACCTAGAATTCCATCCTTGTTGCTCCTCATTCTTACATATATAAAAAATATAGTACAAGGTTAGGTGCATATATGCATTAATAATAGCATTATGCCTGTTTCAATATGTGTTACTTTTATGTGTGGCTGTCATTATTAGGTTATTATTTTAAAAAAAAAAAGTACAGTTATTTTGGGTGTTGAGCAATTGAGGATTGCTAGGTTATTGAATCAGAATCAATAATGTAAGGATTGCATGTTGCTACATAATAATGTAGACCTAATAGGTAGTCAAAATTGTTCCTGGAACTCTGTTTCTACCCTCTCCTCTGTTTCCACCCTTTCCTTCACCATTATTTCTTCCTTTTTGTTTTCTCTGTCTATTTCATTTTCTCTTCCTTTCCTCACTTACCCGCTCTATTTCACATTATCAATTGAGTGTTATTTCCAGAATTTAGGACCCTACTCACACTTACAAGAGGCCATTAAATTGTTAATCATGTACATGCACAAGCAAGTAATATAAACTGGTACAAAAGAAAAATTTAACGTTTCTTTTTTTTTTTTTTCAAGATCCAACTCTCGAAACCATAGGTTACCTAGGGTTTCCTCTACGTTTGGTGACACTCATTATAAAAAAATATTTATAGTGTATTGTCACAGTTTCCATAAACCAATTTTTGCATCTGTATCTTTCCCTTCCAACACACAATATAATGTTTATCAAACCAACCAGAAAAATATATAGAAATAAGAAAGAAAAATTGCATAAGACTAATGATTGAAGTAATAGTAATAGTAATACATTTGTCAAAAATGGAGTATACAGTTAGATAAGAAATATGAACCTACCATTGTTTGACGTGCTTCACGTGGAGAGATTACTAGTGGATGATTATGCTCCTTCACAAATTTTGTTATCACCCATTTTCCAGACTTATCATATTTGATATGAATCATTGCCTTACAACCTTCCCTTGTGCTGGCCCTAGGTTTACGAACTGATGTAAATTTCCCTCGGATACTGACACAATAACCCTCTTTATTACATCCAAGCCTGCGGGCAAGAATCCTACCATCCCTTTCTGAGCGTCGACAAGACATCACACGCATGACAAATCCTAAATGTCGGGCATATTCATCATAGAATATCTTAGCAGCATCCTCAGATTCAAATTCCATGCCTTCATATGGCTCCTGAGTAGCATGATCACCACAGATACCCAACTCTCCCCCAGAAGAACTCTCTAGTACTCTACACCCCTCATTTGGATCCACTGTCACAAAAATAAATCTTTTGAACACATCAAAATATGAAGAAAGAACTTTAAATTCAAAGAGTGCAGTTGTTCAACTGCAGAGAAGCAAAGAAATCAAGAATTCTATAGATAATCAAGGCTAAATATGTAGTTTGAGATTTGATTCATTTCTCCCTATGTAGAACCTTCACCAGTCATATAAAGCACATGCACAGACAGCCACAAATCTTATTCTGGTTCTTTTCAAAGTCCCACCCCCAAGAAAAGGAGAAACAAAATATTAAAGGTGTCCAATGTAAGGATGCCATCCAAGTAATCACTGCAAACCCATTTGATCCTTGGCAATGTATCTCTCAGTGATATGTTTCTCTGAGTTGTGAGTGATAGACTACTGTTATCTTTGGGTTTCGGTCATGCTCATAGTTCTTGTAAGAGGTCTTAAAAGAACATTTGCACAGGGAATATTTCTTTGTTTAAGGAGAATATGGGCACAACATTCATAGACAATGAAAAAGAATTATGTAGAAAATACTTTATTGATGAACCACAGGAAGTAGCATATAGATTTTAAGGCATTTGGGAAGGGTTGCACAATGTAGGATTAAGCTATGATATAGAATAACTAATTAACTATATCAAATTCAGACATATTGTAAAGATATAAACTATACACTCCACATACAACATTCAACAGAGAAATTACTAATTAAGTAGCACGCAACAAACTGAATATTAGAAGTGTAACTTCACCACTACTATGAAGTGGGCCACAGGGTAGGTCATTGTTGATTCTAACTCTATTTGATTCCTGCGTATCAATTGACTTTCCACACACGTGATGTTGTTTTTAGCATAGATTTTGCTTTTTAGACTTCTCTTATGTTAAGTAACAATATTTGAAAGTTGAAAAGTGGGAACTGTGTTTGAGGAGTACCATGACCAAATACTTTTTTTATAAGCTCCAAATACTATTATAATATTATTTGTTAATAAAATGGATATTAAGGAATGGACACTAGTTTAAACCACTCTTTTATCACTCCAAGGGGAAGGGTGCAAGAACTCAGGTTTACTACCTTAAAAACCTTCTACATCAATTGTTACATTATGCAGAAACAAGGACAACAACAAAAACAGGATGCCTGGCCTTATACTTAAGACATGCATAGTCTTTTATTCATTCATAATTCCATATCAAAGTTAAAAGAATAAAATAGCATACCTTCATATGTTTCTTGATGTATCTGAACTTCATATGTACTCAAACCCACATCCCCAGAAACATCCATCCCACCATTTCCATCAACTAATCGAGATTCCATATTGCATAACAACACAACGTATCAGCAAACCACAAAAATAGATTTAGCCTTAAAGAACCTGTTACCTGTCAAGAATTAACAGATTGATATAAAGATGAAGCTTGTAATTTTGTTTATATTAAAAGAATAAATTTTATACAACCGAATAAGAAACTGATAATGACCATACTCGAATCTGAAGTGATTTAAACAAAGCACATAAAGAAAATTCCCACATAATTCAAATTAGAGTAAAAATATATTATTAGCAGAACAAATATATTAGTATTACCACTACTGAGACAGTTCCTATGCATCCAGAAAAAGAAGAACAAAACAGTCAAAGGTTTTGTCTCCTAGTGCTTTTTAAGTCTTCAAGTGAAAACTCAGCTTGATAAGAAGCAGTGTAGCATTATTGACATATGATATATGGTTTTCGCGAATGGAAGATCAAATAAATTACAAAGCACTAGAGGGACAGGGTTAAAAACTTAAAATGAAAATAATGAGAATGGGAGAATCTTTTACAGAAACCTTATTTGCCATTAACAGTAAACCATTTTGAATCACAAGTAGCTAGTTAATGTTCCCGAAATACCCATCACCCAAATGCTCACTTCTATTCTACAAAACACAAAATTAGAAATGCAGAGTGCAAAATATACAATCAACTCACTAATATCATAAACCCATGACAGTTACCCAAGTACCCAATTCATGTACAAAAATATCAGAACACACAAGATCACACGATGCAAGTCATGTCAAACAAATTCAAAATAAACCTTGAAAACATGAAATGGACAAGCGTAGCATCAAACTATCGAAGAAAGGAAAGTAAATTTGAAGAAAATCATAATCGTGTTGGTAACAAACCGGTGTGGTCCTCGCAGCTGGCGGTGTTTGTCTCCACTTCACTGCCCTAAAAACGTAGCCATACCTTTCTTGCGTATACACTTTTCACAAAACGTGATTCCAATTTCCAAGCATTTTCCCCCATGCCTTTTTGTTTTTATTTCTCTCTCTCTGCTCGTGTTTTTGAATTTTAAATCAAAGGGCCATTTAGTCGCAAGTTTTATCAATTATCACATTTTTATTAATTGTTAAGGGGGTTGGTATGTCAACTTTTTTTAATACAAAAATCATACATGAATCATAATTAATTTTTAAAAAAGGATAAAAAAAGTTCTGATTCGTCATAAATATTTTTTAAAATATTGGTAAATATTATTTTTTAAAAATGATTTTTATTATATTAAATAAATAAGGAAGAGTAAATTATATTCATATCTCTTATCTCTTTTTGAGATTATATTAATATTTTTTTCGTTATTTTGATCTATAATGAAATTTCTTAAAAGTTGAAAAGAATTATACTTTTACTTTTTGTATTTTTTTAGGATTACACCCAATAGTCCTTTGAAAATACAATTTGTTCTGAAAATTAATTATACACTCTACTAATAATAATTACTTCTTATTTTATAATCATCTATCATTTTAAATTTTATTTAAGATTATTTTAGTTTTTTTAATTATATGTTATCTCACTTGATTTATATTTTTTTAACATTTATTATTTTATTTTATTTTATTATTTTAAACAAAATATATAGTCTTGATTCTGCTAATATTTTTTATTATTATTATTTTTAAACAAAATACATTTATTATTAAGAGTTGGAGTAAAAAAATAGTGTAACTATTGAGTATTTGAATTCTTATCTTCATTCATTGATTATTATAAATTTATTTAGTATATTTATGAAATGACATAAATAAATAAGTATATATATATATATATAATTTTTGTAAAATGAATAAGTTTTTATTTTAATCCTTGTAATTTTTTTTCTTTGTTTTAAATCTCTCTAAAATTTAGAATTATTGTTTTTAGTCATTGTTATTCTCTAAGAATTTTAACTAATTATTTGTGAAGGGGTTTCACTACAGATCCAAATAACAAAAGGATATAGGGTGCAATCTCAAAAACACATAGATGTACGATTGTAACATCTTTTCAACTTTTAAGGGATCTCATTATAGGCTCAAATAACGGAAGGGTATTAGATGCAATCTCAAGAAAAAATATAAGGAGTGGGAGTGTTCAACTTAAGGATCTCACTATATGTCTAAATAATGGGAAGGTATTTGGTGTAATCTCGAAAAAACATAAGGCTGTGAGTATAACATCTTTTCAACTTTTAAGGGTTTCATTGTAGGTTTAAATAGCACTTGAGTTTTGAGAGTAATTTAAAAAAAAAACACAAGGGGTATGAGTATAATTTACTCAATAAATAAAGATAACATGATTTTATCGTATTAAAATATTCTTTAACTAAGAAATATTAGTTTCTCACCTCCTTTTGAGAACAATTTTGTAAAAACCTATGTAAAAAATCATTTGCAAGAAATAGTGTTTTTTAGAAATGTTATTTTTTAAATAACAAATCAAGTATGGGAAACTAACATTCTCAACATCAAATTTTTGTGAAATAAAAATCGAATACCAAACATCTCCTCAATATAATATCTAACTTGTAAAAAAAATTTGATACATGAATGAATGATGTAAATGCTTATACAACACTTTTTAGCTCATCTAGCCATTCCCATAATTTAATATATGATTAGATCACATATTCTCAATTCATCAACATAAGCATCATAACTCATATATAGATAAAGAAAGTCCTCAAGGAATTTAGGAGTTACCAAACCAAAGGAGTATTACTTTCTTTATAATAGGTTGATAGAAATAAAGGAAATGATATTCAACCGCCGTTATTTTTCTTATAAGATTTATAAAATTGGGGTATTCAACTTTTTTATATTTTTTTGTCATGTTATTATATATTATGTTTTGTATGGCTAAGTTGTAACACCTCTTAGATATGATATTACTTTGCACAACTCCTCTTTGGTTAAAATCGGTTAAAACCCTTTGTTGATAGTCTTTTTTTGAGATATTTGTTTGTCTTTAGGATTAACAACTATCTCTCATAAATCAATACAAGACTTTTCAGTGTGATTTGTTCTCATTCACACACTTACTGAGAAATTTTTCAGAAGGTCATCCATTCTTATATCGCTCCAACAAGCACCCTTAACCATGGAATTTTAAGTTATGGGTTGCCTAAAAGTATATGCATCATGTTGATATATGTAGAACAAATTAATTTATTTAAGTCATCATCAATTGCACAATCTCACACTTATACAAATCTCTCTCATTTCGATGAGTTTGGGTTGTTACAAGCCTACTAACTTCCAATTGGTTCGTCCCAAACCACATCGTACTAAGAGAGAGGATATGCTCTAATTCCATTTGTAACGTCTCTCATATTTGATATCTCAGCAACGCCACTTCACAATATTTCACACAATAACACCTCATATAATTCTCGTTGGTTAGAACCTTTCACTAATCATAACCTTTAATCGATCATAACCCTTCATAGGTAGAACTTTCTAAGATGTTTGGTCGCCTTTAGGATCAATAATTATCTCCACAAACCAACACAATAATTTTCAACATGTTTTGTCTTCACTTGCACTCTTTTTAGAAAACTTTTTAGAAGGTCGGTCACCTATTCTTAAATTGCTCCAATTCAAACATGTTTAACTATGAAAATATTAAGTGATGAGCTACCAAAAAGTAGATGCATTATGTTGGTATATGTTACTAAGTAGTTTATTTAAGTCATCCTCAACGACATACTCTTATACTTATATAAATCTCTAGATCTCTATCATTCTTGTGTAGGGATGACAAATAAATTCATATTCATGGATAATGTCCAAACTCGTATTGACTTATATATACTTAGACGTCCGTCCATGTACTTGTACAATACCCGTTTTCAAATTTTTAAAATACTTATACTTTTATTCCCTTACTTACTCCCTTACACATTATGGTCACGAATTAGACTCACGTTCACTCAATTAAGACCTAGTCACACTTCCTCCCATTAGCTTCCTCACAAGTGACGACCGAGCTTGTTTCCTCCTGTCAGCTTCCTCACGATCGGTTTCCCTATCTCTCTCTCTCACTTGCATGGTGGAATGGGGCTTGAGGGGTTGTTAGGGGTTGTCACATGACGGTTGGGGGTTGTCACGTGGAGACTGGGTTGGTCGCGTGACAATTGGGAGTTTGGTCACGCAACAACTATGATTGGTTGCACAATGGTTGGGTTCAGGTTGGGATTGGACTTGGTCACGCGGTGGCTGTAGTGATGTGTTCTTCGGCTTAGTGAATGTTAATTTTGAATTTTATACCTTCCAACCTATTTGTTATGATGTCGAATTAACATTCATTTTGTGATCATTATTTCTTGTCATATCATTTGATTTATGGGTTTGTTAAAGTAAATGAGTTAAATTTCACATATAAACTATTTATTCTCCTCTCCTAAATTGCAAGTTACTATTAGTATCTTGCAATCTATATTTAGTTGAAATTTCTATGTTTGTTCAATTATGTTATATTCTTCTTTAATTCTAATAGGTTATGATCTAAATGCACTCTATAAGAATTGTAATTTAAGTTGGTACAGTTTATTCTTTTAGAGCAACATGTCCCTAGAACTTCCAAAGTAGTTTTTCAAATTTTGTCTAGGTTTATGCCTCAAACTAGGTATATTAAGCCTCATGTTAACTCTTTAGATTTAACGTTACACCCTACCTTAACTCTTTGGCTTATTGTACATGAACCATATCATATGAATTACATTTATTGTGCCACTTCCCCAACATGACCTATTCATAGATTTAATATAATCTTTCCCT